TGCAAACGTGTGCAAACGCAGTTACCGCGTTTATTTTTAGAAGAGTTTTTTTTGTCATTAACAATTTTTATTGTTTTTTTCACGTAAGTATACAAATAGCGTGTTTGAGAAAAAAAAAAAAAACATAAAAAGAAGGTAGATCGATGGTAAAAAACTGCATAGGTACAGGACAAATAATGTCATAAAATAACAGTGTAGAGGTTATTAGGAACGTACATTTTGGGCTGGTAAAGAAGAAATGAAGGTATCCCATGGGTTCCATACTGCCTCAAACACAGCAAGCGAACAAGTATGTAGGGCAGTCAAATACTCCATCTGTCTTACATCAGCAATAATTTTGTACAAGATCAGCATTGAAGGGGGAGAAGTTTTATAACTGTTCCATGTCCGGATGCTGTCCAGAGCCTTTATTCATCATCAGAAATGCATGCAAAGTGTTTTCCATGTGTTCCAGATTTCGCGTGAAGGAAAAAATGATAGAACGTGCTGCATTATGCTCATGATGGGATCTATAGTGAATACAACCAGAAAAAGATAGGTAATCTCAACACATACTACTCTCTCTGCTTCTGTTCTCTCCATTTCTCTCAAAATGTCTGAAATAGTTATTTACTGCTTTTCAGTGCATTCTGGGCATTTGGGAAGGTCTCCCGAGGTTATCTTTTAAAAATACTTCTAAATGCAAATAAACGCAGCTAAACGTTTTTTAACCTACGTTTTACAGCAGTTTCCATCGTTCAGAAGAGTTTTCCAAATGCCCCGTGTATGTGAGCCCTTAGCTGCATGTTTTCCAGAAAGTAGAGCAAAGTGATATACTTGCACAATGTGTTCATCCTCATCTTATGTCACATGTGAATAGGTTTTCAATGGACACATATACACAGGTTTCTATTGGCCACATCAAAAACACCTAAATGAAAAAAGCCAGACATATTTGCAATTCTGCTCAAAAACACCTGAAAAAAAAAAAAAAACACTTGAAAAACGCCTGAAAACGCTCAGCTCAGGAAATGAATGTAGCCTGAGTGTATGACACACTCAAGAAAAAGCTAGAAGAATTTTTATGTGCATGTATGTGTGAAAACACGTGACTATGCACATTTAATATACGACCCATCCTCGTGTTTTTACACAGGAATTTTCTTCCACAAATCTGATGGTCATACATCAGTACCATGTACAAGAACCCTAAAGCTGGCCATTCCTGCTCGACAAAAGTCGATTTGATGATTGTCTTCTGCTGAACAGGCTTGTTGGAAAAAATGTTTTTATCATCGGTGCACCCAATGGGCTGCAGCCGCTGATCAGTGTATTCTGACAGCAGAGAGTCTGTAAGAATACAATGTCTCTGTAGGGAAGATTCCTCAATAAATGTAGATTGTATGGATGAAGGAATCCATTCATTTGTTCTTTCACTCAGCCTAACTCTACTGTTTCTTGATAAAACAGAACATATAGGACAGCAGTACACCAATCAGCAGCTAAGTGATAACCACCATGCTTAACCCATAAAATGATAACAGAATAAGATCTGGATAAAAAGACTAAGCCCTCATGCACACTGGACGTTTTTACAGCTGCAGTTTTTGGCTTTTGACGTTTTTTTCTACAGCCAGTAAACTCCCCAGCATGTTGTCCTATGTGTCCATGCACACATAGACTGTAATCAACATTTTTTGGCTTGAAAAAAAACCTGGACAAGTGGGCTTCTAGAGGAGTTTTTTAGCTGTAAAAATGCTCTAACACTGAAAAACGCTGCAAAACGCCACAAAATGCCATTTGTGAAAGTTTTTTGACCAAAAAAAATATTTTTGGGTGAAAAAAAAAGCTGCAAACATGGAAAAAGGCCGCTAAACGCTAATGCAAAAACACACGTTTTTAACATGACTTTACACAGCTAACGTTACCAGCGTTATCAAAACCAAGTGTGCATTACAGCTAAGGATGGTTCCAACAAAATGCAAACAAGCCTGACTTCAGAGTGGGATTGAACTCGTGCTATACGGAACTTCAAAAAAAAGTGAATTGTGCATATGCAGTGCCTTGAAAAGGTACATTTGGTCTTGAATTCATTTTGAAACAAAATGCATTTCAAGGGCATGTGAGGGTGCCTAGGCACAGTTGTACATACAACCTCATAGCTACAGTATAAATCTGCAACAAGCAATATAAGACAATGTGCCTTTAACAACTACCCCCATGAGATAAGATGATGGCACTGTTGTGCTGCTCAGTGTTCTCCTTGCTGGAGACTCTGACATAAGGAATGAAAACTGTGTCTCTACCAAGATGGCTGCTAACACATAGAAAAAAAGTGCAAAAAAGAGGGACTGCAAATCAATGGGGAAAAAGATAAGATGTTGGATGTCCAGGGCCATTATTGGTGACTAGTCATTTGCCCTCTGCCTGCCTTTTGGGGCACAGCTTCTAAATGATGGAAGTTATTTGACAAATACAATTATCACAACTGAATAACTGAAGAAAAATACCTAGCATTTAGAAATAAATGAAAAAATAGTCACATTATATTTGTTTTTTTTACTGTAATTCAGGAAGCAAGAGATGTAATAAATGAAAAGCAACACTTATGCTGAAGCATGTCTATATAATCTATTTTTCAATCAATTGTATAAAAATAAGCCACTTAGTGGGGTCACTATATAGGGAAGGAGCACTGATTTAACCACTTCCAGTCACATTAGCTGCAAAGTCATGGAGTTTGTAAGAATCCATAGAACTACTGCATATTGGTCAATAACATCACTGCTACTCATGCATAAAACCAGCAAAAATTTAACATTTCAAGAAAGTTACATTTTTCTGGCTTCTGATCAATAACCTGGAGGGAATTACTAAGTTAATTGAACTCCATGCAGTTTGTACACTGGATTCTCAAAGCACTTATTGCTCTGTAGGATGCCTCACAATGAATAGCGATGTGTTAAATGTGTTGAAAAAGTATATACACGAATTTCCTGGATCAATGATATTTGAGAAAAATGTTTTATTTATAGCTGAGAAGCAGAGTTAAGTCAACTGCATAAAAAGAAATGATTTCCAGTCCTGAACAAAAACATGAAACATATCCTAATAGGGTCACATGTATAACAACAATTGTAAATAGGGAATTGAGATGGATATATACCTTTTACATCATAACTAACAAAATGGGTTGGCGTGAAGAATCACTGGCTCTCTATGATTAAAGTGAAGCTAGACAATCCATAACAATCTTAAGAGAACCATAGTAAGTGTTTTTTCCTTCTGTGTAAGAAATGTCCGTCCTTCAGATGACTTGGCTCTTCAGGTTTGTACTGCTGTAACCTCAGCCCAACCCTCTGCCCTCCTTTTGTGAAATTCTTCTGTATTATGTTTTCCGCTACAGTTTTCAATGTTCAGAAAAAAGATAGGAGTTTTCATTTTCCAGCAATACAACTACAGTAGGATTTGCTGTAATCTTTGCATAGGATTCTACTGTCCTCATACAGAAGCCTTGTGTTGTATCACAAAAAGAAATAAAGCTTTCACTTTGAGTATATTCCAAAAAGCACTAAAACGAACGTTATTCTGTAAAACCTCATAGGAGAGCTTGAAAAAGCCAAAAACTCTCTTAGTAGTGAACATCCCAGCGTTACCCTTTTCTCTAGGTCAGCAGCCTGACCCAGGAATGATACGAGTACCTTTGTGAAAGTAATGCAAAAGTGGACATAACTTTTTATTAACCTACATTGGCCATTCAATGTTCATACCTTGGTAGACTAACTCTTCTTTTTTTCCACTGCAGGTAAATAATAGATCCCAAGCAGAAGCAACATGCCACCATTGAGTCCTTGACGAAGAAGGGGTGCAGGCTGTCTGTCATCCACAGAAGGCTACTAAATGTTTATGGAGATGACGCCACTGACAAGAGCAATGTGCATAGATTGACTGGGAAATTTAAAGAAGGGTAAACCAGCACTGAAGAAATCCCCATAAAACAGCCGTCACCCCTCCTTCATCAAGAGCTCAATGATGGAACAGTACTTCTGCTAGAAATCCATTATTAACCAGCAATGAAAAAGAATAAGCGTTATTATAGAGGAAGAGTTCATGTGAAATTTGAACAACCTATACAAGCTGTCAACTTTTGCATTACATTGGTACAGCCCCTGTATTTTTTTGCAAACTCACATCAGGCCATCTACACACAGAGATGGCATGGATTTTCTGAGTTCAGTGCCAGTGGCTTCCCCATTGCACACCAACCACAGTGGGGTCGCTCACGTGGCACTTTTGCCATTCATAGAACATCTTGCATTTTTTTTCAATGAATAAAAGGCATCCTTTGATTAGATATTAATTTTGTAAAGAACTGCGCAAACTGTTGGCGCTATATAAATCCTGTATTATAATAATATTAATAGATATGGTGGAAAAAAGTGACATTATCACCGCTACTGTCCACCTCATGCAATCAGAACAGCTTGTATTCACTGAGAAAACATAAGTCGTTCAATGAATGGTATGGTGCAGAGCAAGTGAATCTCCGTGTTCAATGTGCAAAGGGAAGGCCACTGGACCAGCTCCCAAAAGATCATGGCTAATCACTGTGTATAGCACCGACTACTAGTACAGATTAACAGAATCCCCAGTGGTCCACCAAATATCAGATGCTAGCCAAGCTGGCCCAATGCAGGTTTACAAATAATTGAGTTGCAATACTGCTACAGGGCAGCAGGGCTGCGCAAAATCACGTATATATACACACGTGATTTTGCATTTTCGGGTAGGGGGCACACATCCTACCTGCACCACCATTGGCAGCATCAGCTATCGATCACTGGGTCCCGGCCGGTGATTCCCCGCAAGCACCCAGCGATCGCCAAGTATCACTGACGGGGGAGAGGTCTGTATGTAAACGATACAGATCTCTCCCCTGTCAGCTCCTGCACACTGCTTTGTATTGTTCTGCATAGCAGAGCAATACAAAGCAGCATGCTTACACAGTAAAGCACACACACACAGCACAGTTAACCCATTGATCGCCCCAGATGTTAACCCTTTCCTGCCCAGTGTTGATAGTACAGTGTCAGTGCTTTTTGTTAGCACTGTATTAGTGTCACTGGGGATGTCAGTGACAGTTAATCAGATCCCCCCCATGTCAGAATGCCCACCAAAGTTCCAGTATAAGTCGCTAATCGCTGCCATTACTAGTATAAGAAAAGAAAAATCCCAGTATATATATCGCCATTTGTAGACGCTATAACTTTCATGTAAACCAATTAATTTACACATATTGGTATTTTTTAAGCAAAAGACATGTAGCATAATACATTTTGGCCTACATTTATGACAAAACTTGGGGTCAGACACAGTGGTACAATATTTGTTTATTCTTTCCTTTCTCTTAAAGATGCACTCTTACGATGTGAGAGATAAGAAGGATGAGAGAGAATGGATCTGGTGCCATTTCAAGTAAACTCTCATTTAAACACACTCATACTTTAGCAGGACAGATGAGAGTTACCGGGGAGCAGCGATCCTCTGCTCCACACTTGCGAGAGAAGATCACATGCACCTGAGTCTACCTGCATACTCCAAGCAGGAGCTATGGTATGACAGGGGCTCTGCCTATTTATTCTGTATTGTAACCATGCCAATGCTTTGCAGGCAGTGGCATTACATTGGGCAATTTGACAAATAGACACATTAATCAACTTTTTTGCACCGCATGGGAACATTATAACACATTGCAATATTGTAAAATAAAACAAACACACCATATACAATATTTTTCACAATGCATAAAAGGTTATAAGGACATACGAGTAAAAACAATAAAATCAACAAAAAATGAAGGGCCACATAATTTGAATAAAATTGATTATACTAGTAAAATAATAAGATTAGCTAAAAATCATTTATTAAAAACTAAATAAATAAAATATTAGATGTTTTTATATATATATATATATATATATATATATATATATATATATATATATATATATTTTAAAAAAAATCAATAAAATGACAGTAAAGGACCTAGCCTTTATTGCCATTGTCTAAGACCCTGTTTACAACAGAGTGTTTTGTCCCATGATTCTGCGTCAACAGGTATAATCCCTTTCATGTCAATAGCCCCAGCTCATGTCAGTAGCTCATATTGCAGAGCTCTGTTGCTTGTAGCTTTTCACCTATTGATGGAAAAAGTGCAGAAGCTTCTTTGGAGCAGAGTCACGTTCTTGGTCGTCAAAGACTTCAATGAGAGCACCTAAAAAAGCGCATTTTGTGTGATTTAATGTCCCTTCTCCTAGTAACTAGCTTTTCATTGACTAAAAAAAAAAAAAAAAAACACCCAATGCTAAAGCCTGAAAAGCAAAATGTGCAAAATGTGTATAGAAACGCTTAAAATTTCAAGCACAGGTATGAACTTGGGCTTGTACAATTCTTTTAAACTGGAGGAACCCTTGAAATAATTTTCAGGATTCAGGAAACCCCTGCTTGAAATAATGTTATGTACATTTAGCAATGAAATAGCATGATGAGTAAGGGTAAGTTGTTGAAAGTAAAATAAAGAATATGACATACCTAAAATATTTGTTCTATATGCCCTTGTCCTGTATGTCAATAATATAATACCCAGAAAAGAAACACCCTAGCATCCTGTGGAGGAATCTTAGGATTCCACAGAACCCTGGCTGAGAAACCCTGGTCTAATTTAAAAGGATACTTTGTTTCTATGTAAAATATAAAACTGTAAAACGATGAACTTTTCTCTTTCAGTGATGAGCTTAGTATCTACCAAAAATATGCTACTGTGATTAAACAAAAAAAAATATATATATATACTTTTAGAGGATATTAAAAGATATGTCATATGAACAGATAGATTATATTATACAGTAGTATTACTCAATAATTCTTCATCCAACCATATTTGGTACCATACTGTCTATCTTAATCTTAATATGTTTGAGAAATAGCTATGGCTTCAACACCAAATAAATCTAAACCTGCTGTGTTTTTATTGACGGCGTGGAATACTGTGGTCTTGTTTACCTTGCTCAATTAAATATTCTATGGTAAATGATCAATACCAAGATAAATCCAATGAATAGATATTTGTTTCTAAACTTTCCCTGCAGCATTATATTTTTACAGTTGCAAACATCTATCCACCTAATACGTCCCAGATAACCCATACCCTACACTACTTGAGGACCCCTCCAAAATCGATACCAGACACAGAGGTCCTTTCCCTTAAAGAAGCCACAGGCAGAAGTGACAAAACGCGTCAGTAGGAGCAGCCGTAGAATGTGTAATAAGCCATTTTCAATCTTCAGGCATTAGGGGACATCCCCATGTAATTCCTAATGTGGTAATACATAGTGAACTTGGATTGAAAAGTGCACTAGCTTTGCAAGTGTTTATTTGTTTATTATTGGGTTTTATGTTGAATAAAGTAGTTTTACAAAGTGAAGTACTATATTGCTTTTTTTTTATGTTTTTGAGTGGGGGAGCTCAAACATAAAAAAGGGTGATAACTAATACTAGACTGTACCAGTAGTGGATGAGAAGGCTCTAAATAACATCACCAAGGCTTTGGGAGAAAAAAAAAAAAACAACACATAATAACCTATTTATACATGTAGGTCAATGGAGTTGAGGTGAACACATGTGAATGGTGGTGGGACTCACCTGGAGAATATAACAGCAGCAGATGTTGCAGTTTTGTCACACGCATGGAGGAATACTTTGGACTTTAACACATATTTGAATATAAAAGTGTTTAAAATAAAGACTGATACAAAAAATGTTTTTCCACAATTGTATTATTCATTGGGAATATTATGTTTTAAGTATTTAATACTTATCACATTGTTGTATATATGAAAAGATTACACTACACTTGTTTGTGTATATAGAAAAAAATATATAAAAATACCTTGGGGTACAAATATCTTCCAACCTTTCCAAACTTTATACCCTAAACTATATGCGTCAACCTAATTCCATCAAATCAGATTGTTTGGCCCTCTTCAATGTTATGATTAGGCAGAATTAACAGATTAAAGAGGATATCTTGCCCAAATTCATATATTTATTCCAAATGGTCCCTATCCTTTCACCAAGAGCCTACCTACAAAAAATTCAGCATCTTGTTACTAGATTTGTTTCACATAATACTCACCCTAGGGTGAGGTATTGTCTTGACATTATGAAAAAGTGACAGTGGAAAACACCTTCCCAATTTCCCTTTGTATCAAAGGGGCCTGGTTTCACCATTGACCCCATACACAATGGGTTACTACTGAAATCCTGATCTGTTTTAGAGATCCTTGGGAATTCATAAGCACATCGAGATCAGACGTAAAGGCTTATTCCCCTTTTCTTTTTCTTCTGTTCTCTTCTTTCTGTGTTATAACATTTAAGGTGGTACAATACTACAACATGTCTATTTTTTTTTTTGCTAATGAACATGTCCATCTCTACGAGTATTTAATAATCCAAGTATTGTGAAACACTATGATCAGTGTTTACATTTGTACTCTTCCTCTTTTCAATAAACACTCACTGATTTGAAATCTCATGCACATTAATCTTACTGTATACCCTACATAAAATATAAAATTACATGGATATTTAAAAATCATAAAAAACAAAAAGTTGCTGGAACAGGAAAACAACATTCATTGTATGGCCTTTTCCTTCATTATCCTAGAAACTTGTCTGGTCATGGGAGATAAACTTGCAGGCTAAACAGTTTTTTTTTTTTTTTTTTTTTTTTTTTTTTTTTTTCTTTTTTTTTTACAGTGACAGGTAGCTTGGGTGTTTAGAAATGTAGAAGTAGTATTGATAAAGGGCTTCTTATTTGACATCATGCTTGTGGCAATTTCAATATTTTTTGTTCTAAGAAAAATAGTTTTCAGTCTCTTACGCAGAACGTTTTAGTTTGGGGTCCTGTAATACTACAGGTCAAGCCTTCGCAAAAACTTTGTATGGCGAGTTGTGATGTGTTGACCTTAAAATACTTGATTTTGTGCAAAATAGTATTTTCTCCGATGAACTGTTTATTCCTGGAAATCCATGAATAAATCTGAATAGTAGGGTGCAAAATATACCCATGCTGCAGTCTTAGAGGTCTGTAAATATAATAATCTGTAGATTGAAAGTAATTCTATTCAATTATGTTGTGGTGTTTTGATCTATATAAAGACAATAATTAATGTATAACTAAAGGCAAAACATTTTGATAGTGTGGAGAGGGATTCACCCATTCTATGTGTCCTTTTTATCATGATCACTGAGCGTAAAAGTGCATGAAAATTAAAAGTTTTGGGTTGCCATGAGAACAGGAATAGAGGGGAAACCTACTAGTGAGGGCAAAAGCTCTAGAGTCAGCAGGGGATTGCCTTATTTTGGAAGGATTTTCTCTCCAGTTTTGGCTATGGGACATGAAGTAAAGGTAATTTTTCCCAATGGGAAATCGATAGTAAAACAATCTGGAAAGGGTTATAACCCTCCCTTACCTATCCGAAAAGAAAAAAAAAAGCTCTGCATTCGGTTCTCAGTTCTACTCTAAGAAACATCAATCCAGCACCATGTGCTATAAAGGTTTATACCAAATTCATATCTAGTGACAACTATAAGTATCCTGTATCCCAGGGATAATGTTGTAATGGGTCTAATAAATTAGTGCAATTTTGATATATGCCAGTAAAGAAAAAAAATTATAGGTTGCACGAAGAATCAAATGTATTGTGGAAGACCTTTTGTGAGCCCATTCATATTAGTAGCGATTGGTCATCTGGCAGAATGTTCTGAATTATTGTGGAATTTAGGAATAGGAGGATATTGATAGTTTAATCAAAGGGATGGGGTGTGTGTGTGTGTGTACAGTATCTCACAGAAGTGAGTACATCCCTCACATTTTTTGTAAATATTTTATTATATCTTTTCATGTGACAACACTGAAGAAATGACACTTTGCTGCAATGTAAAGTAGTGAGTGTACAGCTTGTATAACAGTGTAC